ATATATATATATATATATATATAAACAATTAGATCTTATCTACTTTTTGTTTTTGTTTTGTTACTTTTGTTTACTTGAAATTTTGTTTCCGTGCTTTTAAATGTAACCAAATGTCAGTGTAATATTAATAGTTCAGTCAAATAAATTGGACCTTAACAGGTCTTTTTTTGAAAGTCACTTTATATATTTACAGTAGCATACACATTTTTTAAGCACGTGGTCCAACATACTTTATCTTTCACAGAGTTAATAAGTAATTTCTATTGGCATGCAGTAAGTTTAAAAAGAAAAGAAAAAACGAGGAGGTTTTATTCATTGGCATTGTTCTGTGAGTCTTTATCGTGCTCATTATATCAGAGGTGACCCCGCTGAAACACAATCGCATGTTGACACTGACTGACACGCGAAAGCTCTTGAACGTGAATAATGACTCTGCAATGCTCCCTTAACTACAGTTTAACCTGCTCCAACTCACCGTTATTTCTGTCGTTAAATATCAGACGTACTCGAAGCTTTCCGCGCTTGTCCTTGAAGCAGCTACAGTCTGTGAATGTGTTTACTTTCTGTGAATCGGTCGAAAAGAAAAGAAAATGTTATTGAACAAAAAATATGTTATTTAGTCTGTTTGTGGTTAATCTCATGAAAACACGTCCTTTTTCGTCCTAATCTCAGAAGGAAAGCAAAATGTAATCGCCTACTATTTTTTGAATAAACTAATTGTAGGTGAGACGGGGGATGGTTCTAACACGGGACAGATGTAACACTTCCAATTTCTCAAATAAGGAAAGAGTTAAAAGTCACCTAATTCACTTCACACATTCTCAGTTTAGTCCTTATTCCACATGCGAGGAAGTAGAGCCCTGTGGCAGACACAGCAGATTTTAGAGGAGAAAAACTCATTTTGAAGTAACTTTTTATTCTTCATTTGTTTTTGTGATGGCAATCCCTGCTTTGTGGTTCAACTCATCAAAGTTCAATTATGTTTAGTGTGTCTGTGTAAGTATTTTTCATGAAAGTCATTAGTGCTAACGTCTCATGGCTGCAAGACTCTGTGTTAGTTGTAACAACAATGAAATATGTTATTACTTACTCTAAGCATTTTTTAAATTATTATTATTTATATTTTTTCTTTGAATTTCCACGTCTTAGAAGAGAAAAGCAAACTGAGAGGTGTCTCTAAATGTTCAAGTTCAATTGTATTCTGGCCAATTATGTCTGACATGAGCAAACATGCTTAAACACACACACACACACACACACACATGCATGTTATTCAGTTTTATCACGATGCTAATGTAACACACAAACACATACCAATTATGTTGAAAAGTCAGTGTTGAAAAAAAATGTCAAAATACGTTTTTTTTGTCATATTCCTTGTTGCATAATGTTACATCTCACCCAGACTCTGGGGTGAATTGCAACATTTCACTCCTCGTGTTTGAAACTAAACCATGCATTTTCTGTTTGTGTTATAAAGATAACAGCTACGGCATTTGATAGCAGACACTTGTAACTAGTTTGAATCACATTTTGAACGCACTGGCTTAAAATAACTCCAAGATACAGACAGAAATGTCAAAAATGTTACAACCATCCCTGGTCTCTCTATATTTCTGGATCATTCGCATTAGTGTAAGGCTTCGGATGTTTATTTCATTCTCATTTCTCTCACTGATGATTCTTGTTTTTCATATTGTCCAGACAATGATTATTCATCAATATGTGGTAGGCAATATGTATGTTTCTTACGGTTTTGCGAATGAACGCGAACATCCCAGTTTTAATACAATGTTCTTAATAAAGCTCTTTATATGGCATGATAAGATAAAGTTCTCATGAAATTTCTGCAAAACATTAATCCTGGATCGTATATTCAGTGCTGTGTTTAATTCCAGGAATTATCTGAACCGTTCTGACACCCGTTTACAGGCCTACAGATGAGTCGCTCTCCCTCTTTTTAATAGAAAGTTCTGCCAACTAAACCCATGATTACCTCAGTCAGTCAGTAATGAGCCAACAAATTGTTCAAGATAAGGTTTTTATACAAACCTGTGAGTGTGTGTGCCTGCGCGCATAGACAGATTATGGCGTATTTCACGGTTGTGTAAAGCATTGAACACCATGTTAAAAGTTTCCTATTAAGATCACTCGTTTCTTTACTCAAGTGAACTTGAGACCTCGAGGCCATAAAGTCTAGAACATTTGTAAAAGGAGTTTCTCCAAAAGATCATAAAATCAGTGACAAAGCACATTGCTTTTGTGTCTTTTGTTGCCTTTGTGTAGGCTATATAAAGTACTTTCAGTGCAACTAAACGCTTTTCTTCCTTCAATTACTAAGTTCAATCATAACATAAAATCAGAAGTCCATTTTTTAGCTCTTTTTTTACCACCCTTTCCATTTACTGTTGCATTCTGTGTAATAGAACATCAGCCTCATATTAGATGTTATTATTTGGGTTAATGATTGACCGGAACCAGTTGATACAGATACCGTTATCAGGATAATCCGAAGAGGAAACGGAGTGCGCTTGACATCTTTTATGTCATCAATTACGCAGAAATGCGTCTCAGAACTAGCAGCGTCCACGTGGGATGAGAGGAGGTGTAACTTTTGCTATAAATTAAGAAAGCCAAGATGATAACGGAAGACAAAACTGCAGCGCTGCTCAAAAGGAGATGAAAACTCTTTAGAATAATTTAATTGGTTTTCTGCTGCATTTGTTCGAGTTTTCTTTATTCATTCAGGAATTAAGTTTCAAATGAAGAGGAGACCAGCTGTCAACCAATAGAGGAACATAAATAAAGTAAGTTCTTGAATATTTTGGTGCATTTCCCCCCGCCGAAATCTACTATTTTGACCAAAGCTAAATCTGTTCACATATCAATGCCACAACTTTAATTAAAGTATTAGATTAGAAGTAGTGCAGAGTCTACAATCTGGTATAAAATTATATTTATTTAACTTTGGATAAATTGCATAAAATAATTACAAATATTTAATTAATTATTTAAATAAATGATATAATGATTTTATAAACATTA